ATTATATTATATCATATATATAATATATAAATACATTTTTTAAGTAGGGCACCTTCCTAGAGCCTGTGATCTAACAAATGATAATACACTGCAGCTCACCAAACACAACGCAACACACACTGAGGGTAGAATTGTAACAGAACATTTCACCTACTTTCTCAGAATAAGCGTAGCTCTGGTGTGGCCAGGTGCTGCCAGAGGAGTTAGCAAGCTTAACTCAATATTCCGTTTCATCTTTTTGTTGTAGAATATAAGAAACATAATTTCTTCAAAATGCATAATTCAGAACATTGATATATTGATGAAAATATGGGTATTGAAACAATTTCTCCTCATAAAGACAGGTTGGTATATAGTAATGTATGAGCTGGGCCATTCTAAAAAATGGGCAGTGCTTAGGAGTATAAATAAGACTAATCTCAGAGAACGGCTCACAGAGAACGGTATGTCAAAAAATGACAAAAAAAAAACCACGCATAAACAGCAGAAGGTGGCCTGTGAGGCGTCTCATTCCAGGAGCGTTGTCTGTCTCTCAAGGGAACAGGGTCAAGTACAGACGAGCCACAAAACAGAGGCACTTTGCTATCTTAACGAATTAAATCTATCTGTCCGTCCATCCGTCCATCCTCATGGGTTGCAGGGGGGCCTGGAGCCTATTCCAGACTAAAGTATAAACCATTTAATAGTGATCAGGCCCCCATCCAGAGGGACTTGACTTTCTCCTCTCTCAGAGCTCATTACAGCCCCCACGGGCATTACTCTCTCCCTGTAAAAGTGATTGATGTTCGCTATCAAACAATTCCAGCGTCACATTATTTATTCACTATACAAGAGCCGGCACGCAGGGCGGCCTGCAACAGGGACACTCTGTCTCCCGGACTCTCACTCTCCACGAGCACTAATTACTTCCCTCATTTAAATATTTCAGCACCCTCTCTCCATTCAGGTTTGGACTGGGACAACTTAGGCCACATCCACCTATTAATAGGGGCAGGGGAGCAGAAACAGTGACCACGCGGCTGGCATGCGTGGTACACCTCAGAAACGAAAGCGGCGCGCCCCCTAGCTCACAAACGGAGCACCAAAGCTCACTACTGGGGGCTTTCCCATGTATCCAGTGCTGATATTTGGCTGGAGAATCTGGATAATATTTAATAATGATTACAGATTCTGAATATATGGACCAAAATGACAGCAGTAATGAGAGCGCTACTCTGGATAAACGCAGACAGCGCCCCCTTCCTGCAGGCCTGACTGTGACTTGGCATGTTTTCCAGGCAGTAATGAGAGCTTTACTCTGGATAAGTGCAGACAGCGCCCCCTTCCTGCAGGCCTGGCTGCGACTCAGCATGTTTTCGGGGCAGTATAGAGAGCTGTACTCTGGATAAGTGCAGACACGTCACTACCTTTGAACCGTAGGGCACTGCTCACTCTAACACAATAAGCTCCACGTTGTTCCCACGACATCCCCTTCCTGCAGTGACTCAGCATATTTTCGGGACTGGCCGTTCCCACGTTCCCAGATGTATCCTGCGTTCAGCACTCTGTAAAAGCCATCTGCCGGCCACCATGCGGATTCCAGCATGGGAGGCCAGACATTTTCCAAAGGTTCTCCAAAACCGGTGTGGGACACAGAGGTGGATGCATGACTGCTACGAATTACCTGCTCACTTTTCAAAGATTAATTACCCCTCCTTACATTATTCATGTTCTTTTTATCTGGAACAGAAAATAAAGTCCCTAAATAATAGATCTGCGGAGCCAGAAGCAAGTAGTGCGGCATCCACTCTGCCCCGCATTTGGCCCCCACACAGAGAGCTGGGGCCCTGACGTGTGCCGGGCCCCGCATTTGGCCCCCGCACAGAGAGCCGGGGTCCTGACGCGTGCCGGGCCCTGCATTTGGCCTCCGCACAGAGAGCCGGTGCCCTGACGCGTGCCAGGCCCCGCATTTGGCCCCCGCACAGAGAGCTCCTTAAAATGTACACTTTGAGCAGTCATTTGGCTGCCTGTCCTACAGATCAGTGTTTCTCAGGTACACTGGCAGTCAGAGAATTCAGAAAGGCACTCTTATGATTCACGCCATGGCCCTGTGTCCTTCAGGTTCTCTAAGCCCAGTGGTTCCTGCAGTGTATTGATGGAGAAGGGATGCTGGTGCTGTTGCTTAACCAAACTTGAAACAATGAATCTGCCCAAGATATATCATGCAGTAACATGGATCCAAATCTGGTTCTCCAGGACCCCCAGACAGTCCCTACCAGGAGCAAAAATGGAATGTCTAACAGGGGGCTGGGAAGGAGCAAAAATTTGGACCTTTTGGGGGTCCCCCAGGAATCAGGTTGGGAAACACTGATTTAAAAAAGACCAAATGCAGTTACAGGCCATGACACAAATCTGTCATGGCCTGTAACTGTGGCTTATGTGTTGCCTCAGTGTTCTGGAGGAATCTGCAACAACATGTGGCTCATATGGCAGCCTACTGGCGTAAAGGGGCGTCATTCAGCACAGTTATGAACTTCATTTTCACAATCACTGATAAAAAAAAAAAAACACATTAGCTTAGGCTAGTGTTTCTCAAACCAATGCTCAGGGACACAATGACAGCCCACATTTGTGTTCCCTCCCAGCTCCTTGCACACCTGTACTGGGTATTAGGAGTTCTTGATTGACTGGGAGAGCTTTGGCGCTGTCCAGGTGTCCCTGACGACTGGGTTGAGAAACACTGGTCTAGGCCATCAAGGTTTTAAAAAAATATTTTTTAAAGATTCATTTTGTTTAAAGAACAGCTTAATGCATTTCCCCCCTTTAGCTTAACCTTTAATTAAGCTCAAATTATTAATTATTCATTTCAAACTGGTTATCATTATTTACTAGGACAAGTATGATGCTACCAAAAAAACATTAAAAAAAATATTGACAAATTTTTTTTTCCCCCCTAAAAAGGAGCTTAACATGCCATACGTATTTGAGCAAAAATAAGGATATTTGGCAGGATATTCCGTGCCTGTTTGCTTAAATTGTTTTACGAAGTGTGCTGATTTTAATCATTCTAAAAAAAGCACACACACACTAACTGGGATAATTGCAATTTCCTGAAATTAACCACTGACCAAAAAGCAAAACAGAATTCCGGCAGTTTCAGTTGGTTTTCAGAAAATGTCATGACGGTATTTCACACGGCCAGCTATCAGGCTAACTGGGAAGCTGCCGACGGTATCGGGTGGGTGGTCTTCCTGGCCGAAACGAAGCGAAAGAAAGCTCAAGAAGAAAGACAGGAAGAATGAAAAATAAAACAACAAACCCACGGCGGGTGGAAATCATGACCGTGTTCTAGACTGGCCCCCGCTTCCCAAGTGCCGCCCCACAGAGGGCCCGATACCGACACGCCCAGCCCAGCGGGGGGCGCTGGTTCTGATAGCCATCAATGTTTATGGACCTGGGATATATGGGCTCCAGGAGCACCAAAGGCCCAGCCGCTTGGGCTGATTAGAGAGCGACGTCCCTGTCAACCCTTTGCGTGCGGGGGAGAGAATAACAGCAAGTGCAGGGGTGACTTCCACGGGAAACGCTCCGCTCCGCCCCTCCTCCATCATTGTTTATAATGGCCGTTTTTTTTTGGTCACATAACAATGGTTAAAGTGGCATTTTGTTTTTCTTTCGGGACTGGCTGCTAGAGCCTGCGGCGGGCCGATGAAAACTGGCTGGCAGGGAGCCACGGAAGCTGGGCCCTTATCGCATCTCGGGCATTGCGTGGCTCGGGGGCTGGGGGGAGAGGGGGGTGGCCAGGCTGGAGCCCCGGTCCGAGATCGGCGAAAGCGTGGCAATCGAAGAATTAGTGGCCCTGTGGAAGAGGCTTGTACTGCTCTGCATTTCCGGTGATCAGAGACACGGACGGCGGGGGGCGCTGTGCCCCACCTGCATTGCCCTGAACACCGAGCGTGTTCACTGAACACCGAACGTGTTCACTGAACACCGAACGTGAAGGTCACTCAGGACAGTCAGACACTCATGAGGCAAAGCACCAGAAAACAGGAAAGAACCCTTTAAATAATGACATTTATTTTGTCAATACAGATATGACCAGTATATAAATATATTGTTGACATGTGTTTTCCCAAACGTACAAAACAAGGTACTAATGCAGCCCATTTACACACCATGGAAGACGTCAAGCAAAATGTCGGCCTCTGTGATTTCTAAAGGAAAGCATTCCGACTTTATTCCACAGAGCCCGACCACGGCCCACGCCAGACACACAAGTTATTACAAACCCCCCTGCGCTTTGGGACATTTCAAAACCAAAACCATAGACTGTTTGCTTTCATTTTTCCCCTGATACGATATTTTGGAGCTAAATTTCTGGACCAAGAGGACTCCATTAAAAGGTTGGCTTTCTGATGTGAAAGCCAAAGCCAGTCGGCTCATAAGAAGAGGCGTGACGGAGAGCGGACACAAGACGTGATGATGCTCGCCAATGATACGGGAGCTTCTGACCCAACCGGGGACAAGCTGTTCCGGCACAAATCTGTGTCCCCCAGAATCGGAGTCCCGCCAGGTTTCATGTCCCATTATGGCACTGTGGAGCAGGTCACCACCAGAGGCCGGGTCCCCGGGCACCGCTAACCTTTGACTCCGATTCTCAGAGAGCAGCAGTTTTCCCACAGGAAAAAGGGAACCGACTACTTGTTGGCATAAAAGTGTCCCAAACCACACACTGAGGGAAACCTCACTCTCTCCTACGCCATCACAGCTTTCCACCCCCGAGACTGTAATAAGCTCAGCATTCCGTCTCGGAGGTACACACTCACAAACGAGCATCAGCACTCGTTCAAATGGTCCAAAAGGCATTTTTTGTGTCAATGGAGGGAGGAAAAAAAAAAACAACAAATCTCTTGTCAAGACTGCTGAAAGCCACATCAGCACAAGAAATTAGTGCAAAGTTCACCATTCAAAAAGTAAAAATACAAACATCAGATCAGGATAATCGGTTTATTCATAGACCTTATTTTAAATACAAATGAACGTATAACCGATGCAGTATTGCTCAACATTGGACCTTCAGGACTCTGCTGAAGTCGCTCACACGGTCAACTGTACAGGCACACGATGCTGTGTGGAAATTAATTCTTAAGTTACAACAAATGTAAGTTCACAAGAATAGCACTGTAATCTAAGCCTCTGCCCATGACATCGTTTTCCCCTGCTTGACATTTGACAACACAAGACTGATAAGGGATACTCGTTTTCAAAGACACAGGAAACCGCCAAAGCCATCCGAATGGGGGCCATCTTGGAGTTCCGATGTCAAATATTCACTGTCATGCCTCACAAGCACAAAATGAGAGAGAGCTCAGTGCCTCGGATACACAGGAGGAACCTGCAAGACGCGTGTATTATTAAAGCACTATCAAGTCTGGTACAAGGCTAATCTGCCCGAAAAGTTGTTTTTTTTTAAAGAAATCAAAGAAGAGCAAATGCTCCTGGATTGGCACCTGCTGTTTCAGCATCTACAGACTGATACCTCCCGTTTCGAAACCCACTGGAAACACTTTGGAATTGCACGAGAACGAAAAGCCCTTTTCCTATAAACAGGTGATATGTTTTCGTTGTCTCCGACAATAGTTCTTCGATTTGGAACACATTAAAAGTATTGCACTGTCCCTTGCAACAGCATAGCGATAGAAAACAGTCTGTGAGCCCATCGTGAATGTACGTCCAAATACTACTCACAGGACTGGGTTTAAATAAAAACGCTCTTCCATTTATAATATGCTCCACACATATATATATAAATATATATATATATATATATATATATATATATATATATATATATATATATATATATATATATATATATATATATATATATATATATATATATATAAAAAAAGAAAATTGTAAATGTTAATTCAACACATGCTAAAGACGTGACAAAAAACATCAGTCGCATTCAAAGGTGCCTAAAGTATCACAATAAATTAAACCCTTCTGGAGAAGACAATGAAAGAGGAGGTGTCTATGCAACAATATTGCATTCAGAGGCCTGAGAAGGAGTCATGATTAAAGTCTATCAGTCATTAAACATCACACACTGGAAGGTAACTACACATTCTCCTCTCCAAGTACAATTTTTAGGAGAAATAAAAAACCTCTCAGTATTAAATAATCAACTTTGGTCTATAAAAAAAAAGAGTAATACTATCGTGCACTTAATCATGACGAGCACCAGGCTAAAATAGGATTTCAGTACAGCAATAGGTACTCTGTTGTAGAGCCGAGACTCAGCGGGGCGTTAATGTGGAATTAATGCCGCCCCCCCCCCTCCTTATCAGTAACCCGTTTCCACACAAAGACGCGAGCGTGAATCACTGGCTTCAAGCTGCCTGGGTACGGCAGCGTCCTGCTCATATGGCACGTTGGACCCAACCATGCCTGAGCCTTTCACTCGCCAGAGACCTACATACAACCTGTCCGGTGTCGAGACTGCCAATGAATGAGAGTGGAGCCAAGCATTAACTGGACAGTGCCGGCATGGGCATGCCTGTGTAACAGCGGCTCCAGCTCTGAGTTGGCTGCCCACTAGTCTAGTCGTCTAGTCGCTTCTCAACATGCAAGGCAGACTCAAAGGCAGAATGTCTGCATGAGCGGCAAATACACTGTTCAGCTGCAATTCAACCCTCAGCATCTCTCCCTGTCATGCATCTGTTCCATCGGTTGCGTGTCGGCTGAGAGAATTGTCCGAAATGCTGCCTTTTCAGCCATGACGCGTGCTACATAAAGCCTTCACGGATAAAAGCACTTTCACAATATGAATTGTGGGCAATCCAGACTCCGCCTGGCCATCAACACATTCAGAAATCTTCTCAGAAAAACAGCCTCGGCCCTCATGATTAAATTTGCAGCGTAAACGCGGGTCGGAAAGCGGCACGCAAAAGGGCGATGACGCAACGTCGCCCCAAAGCTTGACATATTGACGGGCAGAAAATAAACTCCCATTTGAGAGAGCAAGTCAATAAGATTCTACAGAAAGACCTTGTGGTGCAAGTCACCAGCCATGGGTCAGCTAGAAGCTGTTCCGAGATAAACAGCTAAACAAATAAACATTTCTCCTTCCTCTGAGACGTTCCTGGATCGTTACTAACGCAAACCAAATACAGGGTTCCAGCCAGCATAAAGCACAGCATGCTTAAGACGAGGGGACAACATTAGTGCAGTCAAAGGTAACCTTCCTCTGAAACACAACACTCTGTAAACAATAACAGCTATCCTAACCCCTAACAGTGCTATGTGTTCAGGTCCAGGCCAGCAATACCTTGGAATAAAATAAAATAAAAAAATCTGCCAAATGTTTTCCCGTCCTTCGCCGAGCAGTAGGGATTTCACATCCCTTATTGTGGAGCCCGACGTGCTTGTGGTATGCTTCACAGCCATGCCCCGTGAAACAAAAAATGGGTACAAAACATCTGTGAATGAAACCTTGGAAAAGTACACAGATGAAGACATTAAAGCCATCACAATAAGTTGTTTTGAAGTTAAACAACTAAATATTCCATCCGATGCAAAAGTGTCCTGGAGAGTAGCACTCTGCTGTCAAACATTGTCTTTCGCCTGGCAATGAAACGAGGATGTTTCACACAATGCTAAGACATACTTGTAGACGGTAGCTTGTTTTTTTGCAGAAGACTATTGTTTGAGAAGGACTACTGAAAGTACATCATGATAAACTCCCCGATGCTGTGATCTTCGCCCCCTCGGTTCAGGCGGTTCGAGCCCATCCAACACCCGACTTCCTGCTTCTGACTGGGGTGCACGGCTACTCCCCCAGCAGCCTAAGGACGGGACGACTTCTGCCAACCTATTTCCAGAACCATTGACTCCTGGAAAGCCCAGAATCCCTGGCTTGGCTCATACGTGACAGGTGGCCCTAGGGCCGGCGGCGCCCTCGTGTATTCCTGGGGGCTTCTTGCTCTCCACCCGGCGCAGGCAGAAGGAGCACAGGCGTTTGAGACCCTTGCGGAAGGCGCTATTGGAGAGGCTGTAGATGAGGCAGTTGCAGAAGCTGTTGCTGATGGCCAGCCAGGTGGTGAGGAAGGAGACCATTGGGTTCCGGTAGATGTCTGCGCTCTCCAGCAGGAAGTAGATGATGTACGGCAGCCACAGGATGTAGAAGACGCTGGTGATGCGGAAGAGCACCATGGCGTAGCGCTTGTCCGTGCAGGCCTGGCCCTCGCCAGTGGCACCTTCTTGTGGGCCAAAGCGGGCGCGGCGCTCACTGATCTCACGAGTGTGCTGCTGGCAGATGCGGAAGATGTTGCAGTAGGTGAAGCAGACCGTGGAGGCGGCCGGCGCGTACAGCAGCGCCACAATAAAGGAGGTAAAGGGAGGCTTGGTCCTCCATGACTCGGCACACCACCGAATGATGTCGCCGTGGTAGCCGGGCTTGCCCATGCCGAAGAAGGATGGCAGGAAGATGAGGCTCGAGTAGAGCCAGATGAGAGTGATGCACACGCGGAGCCGGCAGGGCGTCACCAGCGTGGCGTAGGAGAGCGGCCGTGTGATAGCAATGTAGCGGTCCACACTGACACACGCCAGCGATGCCATCGAGACGCTTTTCAGCACGGACACCATGTATCCAAACACCTTGCAGGTGAGCTCCTCGTCCAGACCCTCCAAGTAGTGCAGCAGGGACAGGCAAGGGATCAGGCAGCTTACCCCCACCAGCAGGTCAGCGTACGTCATGGTCTTGATGAAGGAGCTGGTGGTGTGATGGTTGAGCAGCGGCGCACAGTGGAAGACAAAGATCACCACTAGGTTTCCGGAGATGATGAGGATGGTGAGGAAGAGAATAATAGCCATCTCCAGGATGCAAGTATCAAAGAAATGAGAGTAGCCCACATCCAAAAGACAAAACGGCACGCTGCTCTGGTTCATATCCACAGTAGAGTTCATCCTGAGGTGGGTCTTTAGCTCTCCCCAGTTCTCATTTTTTGGCAAGGGGATTTTACTTCGGGTGCCCTGGAAACCGCCCGCACTCCTGCCCCACCCCCCCCCGGCCCTCCTTGCGAGTCTGTTTCTCTCCCCCGCCTCTACCTCTCCTCTTCCTTTCTCAGCAAATCCTGACAGCTGACGTGCCCCAGCGAGAGTCCGCAGATGCAGGCGCATACGGCACCTGCCATGTCAGCAGCGATGCAGCGAGACCCGGAGAGGAGGCCCCCCCACAGGACCGGCGCATTCCCAGGAGCAAGTGAGGAGCAGGTGCCGGGCTGGAGGCTGCGGTGGCAGTCCTGGCCCGACTGCGTCCTCCGGGAGTTCGCGCGGCAGTACCACGGCCTGGTGCCAGCCAAGGGCAGAGGGAGAGAACAGCGGGACGGAGAATCCAAACGGATACCTTATCTTCTCAGTTAGGGGAAGCCGCTGGCCTGTTAGAGGAGGAAGGTGTCACCACGGTGACGGCAGCGGTGGCTGGAGCGTTCAGGCATGGCCGGGGAGCCGGGCAGACGGAGCTGGCGCTCCGCTCTCCGAGACGGCCCCGAGGCGAGAGATGCAGCTCTTCATGACAACTTCAGCAGGGTAAACCAGCGGAAAGAGTTCTCTTCACTGACACGAAAATAATAATAGTGATAACGATACTAAAATCACGGAATGTGGAGACTAGTCGAGAGAGCTGCAGACAGACAGCGGTGCACGGAGCCCCGAAGACGTGCAAATCCCCCAGAGAGGCGGCGGTGTCTGGAATGTAAATGAGGGAGCCCCACGCCCGAATGCAGGCAAGCAGCTTTCCTCCTTCACTGTGGCCCTGATGCAGCTCTGCTCCCTCTTTCGCTCTGTCTCACTCCCTCCCTCCCCCTACCTCTGCTTCTCTCTCTCTCTCTCTCTCTTCTCTGCTTCTCACCCCGTCTTTGCAGCAATGGAGGCAGCAGAGAGCTCCACCCCCAAAAAATCCAGCCAGTGAGCAGCTGAAGCAGGAAGCGTGAGCAGGGAGGAGCTGCATGCCGTCACTCACTCACACACACACACACACACACACACACACACACACACAAGCAAGCACACAGACCCAAACACAGACCCAGACACACACAGACACACACAGACACACACATGAGCGCACGCACACACAAGCGCAAGCAAGCACACAGACCCAGACAAACACACGAGCGCACGCACACACAAGCGCATGTGAGCACACAGACACACACATTACTCACTGTTTCAGGGCCCCATGCATCATGTATGTGAGAATTAGACATAATACTCGGTGCACTGGAGTGTTCACCCCCCCCCCCCATGCTGTTTGCTGTCACACCCAGCCAAGCAGAGTCTAGCCGGGAGGCCGGTCCTGTGTTTGAAGGTGCCAGAGTCATACGAGGTTCTGGGTGCGTGACTGTATCCGTACAGCTAGTGCCCGTCCTATTGTATATAATCACAGTCGTCTCCGTGTCCCCTGAGCCGCCCTTGTGACTCTCGGACCTCGCCGGCATCCTGAGGACCCACAGCAGCTGACCCCCGTCTGCGGGTCAGCAGAGGTCACCGTCTGACCTGACGGTGGCGCTGTGAGCGGCATTGCGGTCTGGCACGTACACCTGGCAGGATCTGTGCCTTGCGAGAGTGGCCTGCTTGCTGGGGGGGGGGGGCAGCTCGACAGATGCCCGCGTGATGCATGATGAGATACTCGGGCATTCGTCGGCTGGATCTATTCTGCTGTTCTCCCAGCTTCTCGGATTTCTAGGGGCTCTACATGTTCTCCATAGATAAATGCTCCCCCCGTTCTGCCAGCATCACTGTGTTCCCCTCCCTGTTTTTTATGGCAGAGATTATTGGGGTCACCGGAGAGGCTCAGCGCCAGTGTGGCATTCACTCCACGTTTAACCCCTCCCTCCTGCAGCATCTACAGTGTGGGAGTGAGGGTGGCCTGCATTACGGAGACTGGTTACAGTGTGGGAGTGAGGGTGGCCTGCATTACGGAGACTGGTTACAGTGTGGGAGTGAGGGTGGCCTGCATTACGGAGACTGGTAAACGGACGATGAGCGAGCCTGGATTGATTTCCCTGAATGAGGAAGCTGGTATTGGGCATCCAAGCTCTTGTGAGATTTGCTAAATCCTCCCCCATCTAGCTGGCTTTAGCTCGCCGCCGCTGCTTCTTTTAATCGTACGACACGTTGCGACCGCGAGTCAGCAGATGGATTCATCATTTGCTAAAGAATGTGGGGGACTGAATAACAAAAAAGCGCTTTATTCCGTACTTGCCCTGCTAGTCGCCACACTGTCCGTGCTCGCTCCCATGTGACCTGCCGAGGAAGATGGGCTTTAGGGGACTCGCGCAGGAGGATCAAAGTCTGAAAGTGGGGCGTGGCCTCGGCCCTGATCTGTTCACGCCACAGGCCAAGCCGAGCCGGGCGGGATGGCCGACGGATGCAGGGAGGTGCAGGATCTGCCAAGTCATCGCCGACGCGGCAAGACCCAGGGAGGGCGCCCCCTGCAGGACAGGTGCCACTCCCAGACCTGCTGGGGATCGATTTTGGCCTTTATTCGCAGACAGTAAAGAGAATCATTACTCTTTTTGTTTTGGGGTTGGTTTTGGAATGTGAGGTTTTAAGAATCTGAGTGCAAGAAGAAGCTAAGTAGAGCAAGAAGCGAAACTTGGCAACAGGAGCAGTCGGGTTCTGCAGAGCGATTCGCGAAGAGGAAAGACAACAAAAAAAGCGTGAGATTTATATAACAAAGCTAATGGGAAACATTATGCCCTGTGGCTAACAGACGGAAGCATTTAAGAATCTGTGAAGCATGCAGACCTGCGGGGCAGCTGCGGCCAAGCGGGACGTCTCGCTCGCTGCCTGCACCTTCTATTCAAGGCTCTCTATGTTTGGGAGGCTTTTCCTGCAGGTTTATTCTGAGCAAATAAAGAAGGAAAGATAAAGGGAGGAAGGAGCATCAGAGCGCCACAGGAGCACACGCTGGGTCTCGAAATCACAGGCCTGTCAGTGAGATCCCTAACATTTGCTGGGAACGACAACAGAGACGAGCAGAAAGAATTATAGGATAATCGAACGAACCAGGAGAACAAGCAGCAGAAAATGGATGGCGGGGAACCCTTCAGGACAACTGAGGATTTCAGTTATATAGTGAGCACAGGTAACCTGCAAGCCAGGAAAGCAGTTTATAATCAGTTTATAAATACAAAGTGAAGGACATGTCGACTACATGGTATGTCTGTCACACCCAGCCAAGCAGAGTCTAGCTCACTCCAAAGCAGGCTGGCCTTACGCTCTGAAAGGCTGGTATGCTCACTGTAACAACACTCCTGTTTAGGGGAAACCAAGGCACAGAACTGCTTGCTCTAGGAATCTCCATTGTCAGCTTATTAATCATGAGCATCCAAGATGCAGTAACCAGGTAAAGCCACTGCCTCACTTTATGCTGAATAAGGCTACTCCAATGTCATTTTAAACAAAAGAGTCTATCTGGCTCTATTTCCACTGATAGGCAATTGTCTCAGATCCTTCTGCACGGTACAGACAACCGCAACATATCAGTTTTGAGAAAAAACTAACAAAATGACCCTATCTGCTTATCAGACTAGCCGTATGTTTCAGAAGAGAATCACACTGGCAAATAATTATTCACCGCAACACTGAGGAACAGCAGGTCCCCAAAGCCATTAAGACAAGGGCTCCCCTAAGGCAGGCGGGCCAGCATGGAGGAGCCTCTCACTGGGCGCGAAATGATCTTCCAGGGAACCCCCCAGTGAAGATCGGCAGCCTCTCAGGCTTCAGGGGAGAGTCTGTTTAGATGCTGGGTGATGAGTCTGAAGACTCGTGGAGGGTGGGTAGGGGGGTGGGGGCGGCTGGCAGACACCTGGGACTCTCCGGCTGGAAGTGACCACAGACAACATGCTGCAGGCCAGGAAAAACACGAGGCTGGCGAAACGGCAAAGCCCAAAAATGCCGCCGTAACCCCAAGTTCCCTATATGGAAAATTCCCACATACTTCAGCTAAAAGAGCCCCTGTGCTATTATTTTTGCTATAATAATAACAGCAGCAGTTTTATTTAGCCGACATCTATGTAAGGCAACTTACAAATTCGGCATTACAGCAAGAAAACTGCAGAAGCGTGGTGCAGGAAAACCTGAAAAGTCACTCGAATACACAGCACTGTCGCACATATCTTCCTAAGCTCAGGTCGGCTGCTCAACGATGCCCGCCCGACACCCGCCCAACGACGCATCTATGTATGTGTGTGACCTCAAAAAACCCAGAACATTCAGACCACAAGTCAGATGATCTTTCCACTCATTTTCTCTCATTACTTTGTTTAAATCAAATTATATCATGATTTCATCTGCTCATAATCATTCTTCCAGTTTTTTTTTTTAAGAATATATTATGTGATATTTAGATGAAGCTTTACGGGTTGGTTTCATATTTAGCTCTCCATCTAAATAACAGAATAAAGTGTAAAACATCCACTGAACTCGCCCCCATTACTGGTGTCCGTGAAACAACAAAAAAAATATCCTATGAAAAGTTGAATGTAAAACCCTGTAACTAGGCATATATGTTGAAGACTGTTGGTCGGCATTTAAAGGCTTCTGCATAAATAAAGAGCCGTTAAGCACACTGAATGGTGATGTGCACAGACAGAAGAGAAGGGCGTTAACCTGACATTATAAAGCAGGGTTTCCAATCTGCTCCTCAGGGACCCACAGTTACTTTGTGTTTTTGTTCCCTCTGAGTTCCTTGCACATTTTTACTCTCTCCCAGCTCCCTACTGGGCAGCAAAAACATGGACTGTCTGTGGGACCCCGAGGATCGGACTGGGAAACACGGTTACAGCATTACTGTGTGCTGCGTGTGGTGTGGGCACATTTCTGCCACACCAGCTGAAGTGACTGAAGGTCACGTGACCACAGAACCACAAGGTGAAGAACCACTATCCCAGGTACCCCCCAAACAGACCCTGTGCAACCTGAGAGACAAACCACAGGGAAATCAGACGAGGCCCATTCCTGTAGACTAGGACAATAGTGCAGTCGGACATACTCAAGGGCAGCAGCCTCAGTATCTCTGTGAATGCTTCTCACTGCAGAATAATGGGAATGATTGGGCCAGCGGGGAGGGGCGGTATGGAAAGCAGGCAGGGCTGTGTGAGGGGAGGGGCCAGACGGGGAAGGGGGGGCAGCTTTGCAACACACATGGTGAGGCTCGTTAGCTCAAGACCCAGATGTCCGTTAACCAGTAGCTTACAGTCCCCCACACAATGATGCCTGATGGAGGGGCCTACCTTTGTGATGAGCGTGCGGTATTCCTCCACCTGGTGGTCGTTGTTATGGCAACCGGCCAGAAGCTGCCAGACCTCTCCCCGAAGAGCCTCCGGGATGCCGCTGCGGACGAGTGCGGGGAGCTGCTTCGGCCGAACGGACAGGTTCATGTGCCTGGACCCCCCCCAGAGAACCCCGCAACTGTCAAGGAGGTGCTGACTGCAAAATGGTGCATTCATAGCATGGCGATAGCCCGATCACTGTACAGAAAACTCAAAAACACTAATACTCGATACACCTACAGCTTTTTTCCACCGCACCAGATACCGTACTTTTGGTACTTCGGGAAGATACAAAAAATTCGGTACATCAAGGTGTTGGTTTTCCACTGGTGTAATGGTACGTTCGATTATCAGTCGGAACTCTCCCGTTCAAGCTACCACATCTTGGAACAAACATGGCTGCCTCCATGAACACGCTGTTGCATGTTGTTGCTTTATTTCATTGCAGATTTGAAAGAGAGAAAAAGAGATTCTTTTTTCCAAGAGACATACAAACAAGAAACACAAACTAGTAAAACCACAATAAAAGTGTTTAAAAATATTTTAGTACATTCATAGCGATATTCTTTTTTCGAGAGGCAAACAAACTACAAACAAACAAAATACACTAAAGTCTGGTAAAAATCTGATATTGTATGCTAGGATACTGTTTACGGTCATGATATTGTATTCTCTAAATCGAACACATGCAATTACATTTATAACTATTAATATACTGTAAATATGTATAAAATAGAATTACTGTTGACTGTGTAAGCTGCCATGTTGAAATGACGACACAGGGGCAACTCGGACAACAAAATTCTGTCCAACATGAACGTCATAAAAGAGGATAAATGGAATGTAAATGGAAAAGTGAAAGTACCGAAAAGTACCATACTTGGTGCGGTGGAAAAGCGCCCCTAGAGAACCACATTAAAAACAAATATAAACAAGAATAAAAAGGTTTACTTTACCCTGCTTCTATTTATATCAACAAATGATATCAGGTCTATCCTTAGAACTACAGAAAGTGACAGGCACATTTTAAGTATTAATACCCTATGCTGAATGGCATGGGTGTGGACAGCCTTTCAGTCCCTTGTGTCCTGAGTGTTACCTTCAGCGCAATTAGAAGAGGATGAGTCACTGTATCCATGGCCTTTAAACCCAATGGAAATGTAGTTGCATCTCAGTGCTACAGCGTCCCTCATTTCAACGGTCTAAGACAATGTGACCAAGCTGATGAGTGACCTTTGATGGCAGGGCTTTCTGCTGAAAGTGTGCAATGAGAGCAGTTAGGGCTCTCTGATGACACGCCTCTGCATAAGCCTCCCCTAATAGAGAATGACGAGCTTGACAACGGAAACGTGCGGAAAAAGCTGCATTGTTCCGGCAAAGCTTCTCAGTGCAAAACGGGGATCGTTTTACCGAAGGAATAGGACATGAGCTACAGGCGATGACCTGTAACCGGGAAACCAGCTACCTCCCTGTCCCAGCCGAGTTTGGAAACGTGACCGCTGTTACCCGTGTTCCACACACCAGGACGCCTGAAGGAGCATCCAGAAATACAGGTGGCGGGAAGAGAGACAAAGAAGCCAATCTGCAGGCAGGGTAGACGGGCAAAGCCTCCGAGCTGAACACGCCCGAGCTTTTGGTCTGAATTCATCTCGGCGTGTAATTGGACAATAAGAGCCTGCAAATGGGCGGAACACCTTATATCTGGGATCCATTGTCTCATTCTGAATTAATTCTCCAAACTGCGAAGTGTGTGTGTGTGTGTGTGTGTGTGTGTATGTGTGCGTGTCCTTCTGAGGGTTTCTATAACGTGAACCTTATCTAGTATTGCCTAGCAAAACTTGGGTAAACTGTACATTCGGGAATAAAAAACTTAAACGTTTGCCTGTGACACAAAGAATCGGACACAATTGTGAAAGTAATTCCACCCAAAGACCGATAACTCATTTCCTATGGCCAAAAAAAGCAGAGTGACTTCAACGGTGCGGGGTTCCTGTCCCAGTGCAGACTTTAGGCGGAGGGGAACGAAGTAAACGACACTGAAGGAAGACCTGAAGGAACCGTGAGACTCGGAAAGGATAAAAGTCACCCCATACCAGCGCTGGGAAATAACATGGTGGATTTAGGGGCAGTAAGAATAGGGGCCCAGTGAGCACTCTACGGGCCCCAGTGAGCACTCTACGGGCCCCAGTGAGCACTCTACGGGCCCCAGTGAGCACTCTACGGGCCCCAGTGAATGCTTTATGGGTCTAACGATATCGACAATACAGAAACCAGACTTCCGGGTCACACCTCCCATCGGGAAATGATCCAGAGATGCAAGTTCCATCAAGCTAGGAACCCCGATTCTTACTGACCTGCCTCCACTCGCCTATAAAAGGCTGCGTCCCATAAATTCACTCTGCAAACTCAGTACGTTCTGGTCTGGAGGTGCTGTAAAAATCACAAGGGGCGACGGTGCAGCACATGTCAGGATCTGAGTCTGGAGCAATGCTAAGAACACGAACACGGCCAAAAGAACAGGAGCGGGGGAGGAAAGGCCAAGTTTAATGTCCATCTGTTCCATTTAAAATGGTAATATGTGCTGCGGGGGAAGGATCCGTAACGCTTCATGGGTCTCTGTCCGGCTAGACGAAGCAGGGCTGGCTTTATCGTCCACGAAAACCCCACAGCTCATCACCGACGGCAACCGCAGCGACAAACAGACCCACTGGAGCGACCTTGAAGCGCCCCAGCACCTTTTGCGGCGTTCCCCCCCAAAAGCCCGAGTCCTGGCTCAGACATTCAGGACAGGCCAAAGGGCACAGGGAGGTTCAGCTGGGGGTCACAGAACATCGGAACAGATGTGGCCCCCCAGCAAAAGACTAAAGGGGGACATGATCCAGGTATATAAGATTCTAACAGGTCTGGATGCTGTTCAGCCAAATGGCTACTTCAGTATTAGTTTAAATACTACAACTCATGGCCATAAGTGGAAAATAACAGGAGAACATTTTAAAATGAATTTGAGGAAGCACTTCTTTACACAGCATGTAGTTAGAGTATGGAATAGTCTTCCTGCTAGTATAGAGCAAGCTAAAACCCTGGGGTCCTTTAAATCAAAGCTAGATAACATTTTAACAACTCTGAGCTATTAGTTGATTTCTCCCCAAATGAGCTTAATGGGCTGAATGGCCTCCTCTCCTTTGTAAATTTCTTATGTTCTTATCTTCTTACAACCAAAGGTGAAGCCCTCCTCCAGTAGCAGCTCTGAAGGAGCCACTCGCCCATAAAGCTTCCTGGTATGTGACTTGTCGGGGGGGGGGGGGGCGGTTTAGCGGCGTATTGGACGGGAGCGTACCTGAGACCAATAATAAAAATGGCTATCCAAGGGTCACTGCTGGAGGCTGGGAGTGTGAGCGAGGCTGCAGTCAAATGGAACCGGCAGACCAGAGACGTACTTCGCATGAGTGACAAAGGAGAAGTGAAAGCTAACGGTGAGACAGGAGAGGAGAACCGGCCGCTCACCACTTGGACAGCAGCTCGCCCCAGGTCTCCAGGATCTTCTCGGCACACTCTTTGGACACGTCCCCCGAGCCGCTCAGCAGCGGCTCGTCATTGTCTGGGGGGGGAGTGCAGGGTCAGCGCGGCGTGGTGCCATGGCAGGCAGGTCAGGGCCAGGCGCACGGTTACGGTGGACAAAGCGCAGGAAGCACTGATTTTAAAGGCAGGGGGCGGGGAGCACTTCCCAGGCACCCTTTGTCCACTTCCCCCCCCCAATGTTATGTTAAACCCACTTCCATACCACAGTAAAGACCCTGCTAACCTCCCCCACCCCAGTGTTATATGATCCCCCCCACCCAGAGCAAGTCTCGGGCCCACCTTCCTCCTCCTCGTCCTCAGGGGGTGAAGGCACCATGGGGCCGTGCGACGCCGAGGGCAGGATGCTGGGGCTGGCCGTGGTCTTCCTCTTCTCCCGCTCAGACTCGCTCTCCAGGCTTACCACCTCGTACAGCGTGTCCGTGTTGCTCTTCCTGTCCTTCCTCTCCATCTGGGATGAAGGAGAACGGCAGCAGCAGGTTACAGAGGCTACATGCTCCTCGGTTTTGAGTCCAGGGGCACTTCGGCCTTCACTGCACTTGGCCTATTAGCTGGCACCACGCTGCAGGCTGGAGATGCAGCCCTGACCAGTGGAATCCAGAGGGCTGCTTAGCAGAACATGACGCAACAGGCTAATGACCCAGCGTAGATGGAGACCTCCCAGTCCTGGGGAAGATGCTTACACCTCCTCCCCTGCCTTAAAGAGGGCCCCCGCTCACTCACACACTCTCACACACTACACACTCTCATTCTCACCTGCTTGAGTTTCAGGTAGAAGGTCTCGGTGTAACTCCGCTTGCTGAAAGGCCAGAAGAGCCTCTCGTTGGGGGAACAGACTCGCACCCGTGTCTCCAGCAGGAACCTCACGGGCTCCTCCACCTCCGTGATGACCAGGTCCACAGCCGTGGTCATATACATGAACTTATCTATGGGACACAAGGGGGCCACATCAACGGAGTCCTTCCAGGCAGCGAGATGCACGCCGTAAACAGCGTCCATATGCCATCTCCTCACCTTTGGGGGTCTCCTCGTTGACAGACTGGAACTGAGGGGTGTTGGGATTCCAGCTCCCTGTGATGATGTAAGACTTTCCATCTGAGCTTTTCCCCATCGACTCCTGCGGCGACAGAGCAGGGGCGTCGGCATGTAAGCGACAGTGGGGGGAGGCAGGCCGGGCCGGGCCGGGCCGGGCCAGACTGGCAGGAAGGAACACTCACCAGGTCCAGCAGGTGCATGTCACTGTTCCTCACATCTTTGTCTGGGCTCAGCAAGAGACCAAAGCACCTAGCAACAAGAAGCACCACATGATCCACCAGCGAAGGCTGGAGCTACACAGGAACCAGGCGAGATCCGAACAAATGCAGCCAAACAGTCTCCTCTTCATCATATTCGTTAATGAGTTTATCAATAGGGTGCCGCCCAAAGACATCAACTGAATATTACACATATATACAGTGAAAGTATCCAAAGAAACAAGATGCGAAGGTGTGAATAATAGGTAAAATACGTATTTCCTATTAGCCTATTACACTCATTACGAATGTTCTCCAAAATAGTATTAGGTAAAGCTCAAACTAAAAAGATCTTAATAATTAAAAAAAAAACACATTTCAATAAGTGATGATCGGCGTTGTGTCACACATTAAATATTGATGGTTAACAGATGAGGCGCAGTACAGCTGTGAGTTACTTCAGCAGAAAGCGCTCAGTGGTGACACCCTCCTGCCTGGGAGGGAAAAGCAGGCCTGGCTGACCTCTCTATCGACAGCTCTTTGTTGGAGGTCTGCTGCACATAGATCACTATCTTTTTCTCCATCCCGGGGCGCAGCTTGAAGCACTGCTTGTCTTTGTCTTTCGACACGGCGCTGAAACAGACAGAGAGAAACGGCGTTGGTACAGCGATGTACGAAAAGGCTAATGGCCGTCAAGGAAAATGATGTTGAGGCGATCTTCATGTTGGTGTGAGAGTACGTCTGTTAAATTGTGTCCTCTTAGCCAATTCAAAATCTCTCCTAAAGTCGCCTCAGTATTTCCAATACATCAGTATATTTGTTGACTCAATCACTAGCTTTGCTTGGGTAATCAATACAACATAAAACAATTTAACACATTCAGCTAATTAAGTGAACTGGTGGTGACGAGTAACAAATAAACAGAACAGCTGAGGTGCCCCTGAGGAGAGACTTGGGAACTGAAGCCGTGTTCATCTAGCCGTCCAGCAAGGTGCCGTTTTGGAGAAATTCTGTTTTTATTGTGTTATCGTTTGCATAAATCCTAATGTTTCTTTTTCCTGAGCAAACAGACATTTACTACCCAAATAAACAGCTCGAAACATATTCTTTGACTGCCTAAGACTTCTGCACAGTGCAGTACACCTCGGCACACAGGCTCGTGTTTGCATGCTGTCAGCACGCGTTTCGCCCAAACAGTCAGTCGCCCTGCTTTGAATATTTCACCTTGAAAGGTCCGCCAAGCATCATGCCAATAACTGGGCCGGTCGGCCTCATGCGTGATTGTTTTCGGGAGGCCGCGGGCCCCTGGTCGCGGGATTTAGCCCCACGCCAAACCCACATTCCATGAATATGCAGACACACCATCTACCTCAAGCCAGAATCTACAGTCTAGTAGCCACAGAAACAGGAGGAAGTCGTGCTTCTCCTCACCACACGGCCGCTCGTGCCTTAACATGAACAGGTTTAAACTGGCATGGAAGATTCCCGTTTACGACTGATATACGTCACAGTAAACACTCAGCAATGAATGACAGAGCTGCAGGCTGCTGATCACTGCTCCCCCTGCTGGTAGACGTGGTGAGACGCCCCTGCCCGTTCGCCAACCCTGGATCGTTCACGGCGAATATAAATAAAGTCTGGTTTCAGCTCCTGCGGATTATGGACGGTCACAGATACATGGAGCTGTATGAAATGAGATTAGTGCATGAATGCGCCAGCCTTCTCTGAGGGCAAAGGAAGATTAACTGGAGAGCTAATCCAACAGCTTCATCAAAGGGGAACCAGGAACGGATTGATGGCCTCCTCAGGAACGCTGCGTGCCGTTTAGCGCGTAGCCTGAGTTACACATACAAACCGTTAACAACATTCCATGGTGGACTTCCGTATTCTAACCAACAGAGCAGACGTGACTAAGCTCTGTAAACAAACACAATAACAGGACTCTACCCGGTTTCTGAGTCTCCCCATACCTACTTACATCCTGCCTCAGTGCACAAAATCACAGATCAAAGATCCTAATCACTAATGCACTTTGTTCTTCAGGAGGCTAAAAATATGCTTCTTTTGTTTCCAAACAATTCAGAAGATCGGTCATTTGTGAGGTAGGGAAAACTTTGGTATTTCTATTTTTTTTTTTAGTAATGAGCAGCTTATTTCCACTCCAACAGGAAGTCGGAAAAAAAGCAGCCAGTCCGAGCTGGTACCTGCTGCTCGTTCCCAACCTGTCGACGTCTGGAGAGGCAGCACCCAAGGGCCTATGAACATGTGGGGGCCCGAGGCTGACTAGAGGGGTGTTTCAAAATCCCCGAAACAGCCTAAAACACACAGCAGCCTGCACCACGTGATGTTCAAACTGCAACTTAACAGTCACCACATCAGAGGATTCCTGTAGAATCGCACCTCACTCAGAGTCACGGGGGACGACGAATCTCAGGATGTGCAAATGAGGCCCTGAGGAAAATACAGTACAATATTCATGTGGCTCATAAGCCATCCATCCATCCATCCAGATACTTCTTATCCAATAGAGGCTTGCCTATACCAGGTGGAACAGGGCACCAGGAATGGGACAGTCTGGATGGGATGGCAGTCAGTTACAATGCACACCTGCACTGGCACACACTCATGTGCTATGGGCAAATTGGAGACACTGATTCACCAATCTGCAAGCCTTTGGACTGCGGGAGGAAATGGAAGTTACCGGAGGAAGCCCACATGACATGGCGGGGGACACACACACAGAGCAGAGTCAGGACCAGAAACCACAGCAGTCCTGAGCCCTAACTGCGAGTAGCTAAAGCAGCCCTGGAGGTGCGAGGCAGCAGCCCTGAGCACTAACTGCGAGCAGCTAAAGCAGCCCTGGAGGTGCGAGGCAGCAGTCCTGAGCCCTAACTGCGAGCAGCTAAAGCAGCCCTGGAGGTGCGAGGCAGCAGTCCTGAGCCCTAACTGCGAGCAGCTAAAGCAGCCCTGTCAGGTCCTATAAAGTGTGAGTGGGAGACCGATAAGGGCTTTATGGAAAGCACACACACTCCAGCGAGTGGGCCGGTATCTGGCCCTTAACAGAGAGTACGTCCCCCCGGAGAGCAGGGCCACACACGGCGCATGCCCCGCTCTCCCTCACCTGTAAGAGCCTTTCCCATCATCCTCCTTGATCTCAAGGCAGACGGTGAAGGTGAAGACATCGCTGTCGGGCGTCAGGGGCGGGGCCTGCGCCGCCTGCAGGGGCTTGCTGGCCGACCTCCTGAAAGCAGTGGCGAAGCTGTACAGGATCCGACTAACCTAGAGGATGGCAGAGGGCAGAGGTCAAAACGGGGCAGATCCAGAACACAGCCCTTAGGGAATATTAGAGGGTATTCAGGAGGAGGAGACTCAGGTCAGGAGTAGGGGACTGGAAAGCACCAGCAAAGAAAAAAAAAAACACATATAAACACACTGGGCCTGGCACTATGATTACTGGGGACTAGCAGATAATGTGGTGATTGAGGCTGAACTGAATGGATCAGTGCTTGTGATCAGAAGGTTGCCTTGAGTGAGGGCCCTTAAAGGACAGCAAGATGCGATACGTGAAAACTAAAGAAGCAGCAAATAAGGTATCATTTCATTCACGTCTGCATACCCTGGTGGCAGCATCACGCCCAGAGCAGCTAATGTGTGTTTCCCGGGTAACACACCAGCTGTGGTGCTGGCAGCCAATCACGGAGTTCCCCATGCTGACAACAGGCGTAATTTAGTGACGGGTGGCTACCCAGAGCATCAGCCTCTCGGCGCTTACAACCACTATGGGTGACGCAGCAGAGAAAGTGCGTTTCCATGAAGCGCTCACCGCCTCCTGGATCTCGCAGCGGAAGACATGGATGCGGAAGATCTCGGTGTTGTAATGGCTCTCGGTGAAGGCGAAGCAGTCGCTCTCCGGGGTACCGTCGTGGCCGCGCACACAGAACAGAATCTTGTGGATGGGATAGTTGGCTATTTCCGTGCTCGTCTGAGGATCCAGCAACCTGTTTCAGACACGGAGGCGTTCAGACTGAGAGCTGAGATTACAATCAGGACCATCCTAGTCGGTCTCAACATGGCCGACAGACACACGGAAAAGGTGGCTTCGAGTCTCCCTAGGCCACACACTGGAGGTACAGCATCTCTCCAGGTCCTTTGGTAGCTCTGAGCGGCAGGTGGCCCCATTGCATGAGGCTCAGCTGGACTGGACAGCCTGTGTGTGCGTGACCAAGGTACCATTCCATAATGCGCCTGTGACTCCCAGGACGGCTTGTGAGCGGCCGTGGTCCGCGGGGCGGGTTGCGGGGCAGAGGGGGGGGGCCTGTCTCTTACCTGACGGTGCCCTCGGAGACGCCAGGAACGGACAGCGTGACGTCCAGTGGCATCTGGCACTGGCCCCTCAGGATGCTGATCATGCGCAGTGCCTCCAGCTCACTGCGGGGGGCGTTGACGGATGCGCAGCCCAGGTACGTCAGCTTGCTGAACACCACGCTGTCCTCGTCTGGCACTGGCGTGCTGGGGCTGGGCTCTGACGAGTCGCCAGGGGACCTCACAGACAGGACGACCTCTGCGGCGGGGGGGGGCACAATGCAGAGAGCGTCAAGCATCATGCAGGGAATGCGGGAGAAACAGCACAGCCAAGAATTATTCTCAGCTAAATGACTATCCCACACTAGCAGGGTCTGCAGGTATTACACCTACGTAATACTGTGCAGAAGAGCAGCTATTTAGATTCTTTCATTTTAACACTTCTAAGGCACAGTTTAGCCAAAAATCCAGCATCAAACGACATAAATGGACGATTCTGACGCTATTTAGGCCGAGCCAGATGACCCCACCCAACACACACCACTAGATCTCGTCTTTCTCAAACCCAGGGACAAAAACATGGACTGTCTGGCAGGGAGCAAAAATGTGGACCGTCCCCAAGGACGGGACTGAGAGTTGCTGCCCTAAGGCCTGCACTTCCCGCTCTGGGGGCCCCACTCACCTTCATACATAAACTCGCCTTCCTTGGCGGACTGGACAGGCAGCACCATCTCCAACTTGGGCTGGGCTCCTGGGGGGGCAGACATGGCGCCCCCTACCTGCTCCCCACCGCCGGCTGCCTGCTCGGCCATGGATGGATCCATCAGAACATCTTCCAGCTCGCGCCGGAGCTGCTGCTCACTACCGTTGCCGACGATCTGCGGGGTTGGGGGGGCGAGGGGGGGAGGTGGAGAGACCAGCATGCAAGCACAGGCGCGGCGTCAGAAGGCGGCAGACGGCCCACGGTCACAAAAAATGGCGCGCGGCGTTACGGAGCCCGAGGGCACCTTGGCCGGTTCTGACTCCTTCACCCTTTTCAAGCATATCTGCTGGAATATGACCTAGACACCCAGGATATCAGTGCAGATAACAAGAGAACAAACACCCTGCATGATTATCAGAATCTCTGTGGCTGAAGAAAGCAAGTGACTAATTAACCATATTAGCTTAATGTTAGTGCACACAGACAGACAGAAATTTTTGGTAATTTCCAAGAATGAGAAAAAGTGCTTCGGCTTGAATTTAATAATTCGCCTTCTTTATTTCCTCAAAACTCTGCAATCCCTGAACTGACCAGTAGGTGGCCGGCAGGCTGCTGCACACACGCATCTGAGAAGCAGCTAATGAGCAAGAGAGAGAGAGGCAGAGCACACGGAAGCCCGGGCGCGTCTACGAGGCGACCGCAGCGAGGACGAGCTGCGGCCAAAGCTGCTATAGCGCTGTGCGGCGCCCAGGGACACGGCTCAGCTTGGGGCTTCCTGTCTGATCGTGCGAAAGACGAGAACATGATCCGATGGACGACCAAATGATAACAGACACACAGTACAGACAGCGTCACCACAACAGAAAAGAGACGGAGAGAGAGACTGACCTTCAAGCTGACACCTTCCTCAGAAATTACCTGCGTAACAGACAACACGTTTAGAGACGTCTAACACACTCCTCCGTGTCTAACTGCACAGGGGGACAAACATGAGCATGACCCTGACGTTTCAGCAGATTTAAGTCACACAGACGAAGTTCTGTGAGCCTTTACTCTCCTTTGTAATTGCAGTGGAGTGTAGCTGGCCTGGCAGAGGGCCACATAAAATGGGAACAATGTGTTCAAAAGGCATTCCTGAGTATGTGTAAACAGAAACAGAGTCCTATGGATTGAAGCTGTCAGTTAACACAGGTATAGCTCCCTCTTCTGGCAGAGACAGGCTAGTGATGTACGAGTCCATGGGATTTTACAGCACACATAAATCACAAAACAAGGTAGATGGGTTCCCTTTGCCACAAAGCACCACCTTGCTAATTGCAGAACATGAAGACACCAGGGAACTTCAATAAAAACAAAATAGGCTCAATATATCTACACTGAACAACTATGATGTCTCAGAGATGTACAGCTCTAATATATGTGGCAACTCTCTGTATACAGCACCCAATACTGTACAGATTCACTAACTGATATTATATACCTTTAAGGGCTGTGTGGTCAGAGCCCTCAATCCCGTGCGGTCAGAGCCCTCAATCCCGTGCGGTCAGAGCCCTCAATTCCGTGCGGTCAGACCTGATATTATAAAGCTTTACAGACCGTGCGGTCAGAGCCCTCAATCTCGTGCAGTCAGACCTGATATTATAAAGCTTTACAGACCGTATGGTCAGAGCACTCAATCCCGTGCGGTCAGAGCCCTCAATCCCGTGCGGTCAGACCTGATATTATAAAGCTTTACAGACCGTGC